GTGGCGGTGACTTTACCCAAAGAACCAAGAATAATAATTGTATTGTTTTATATTTTTATTATTTTATTGTTTCCCTTCTACGTGGTGGTGGTGACTTTACCCAAAGAACCGAGAATAATAATTTTATTGTTTTATATTTTTATTATTTTATTGTTTCCCTTCTACGTGGTGGTGGTGACTTTACCCAAAGAACCAAGAATAATAATTTTATTGTTTTATATTTTTATTATTTTATTGTTTCCCTTCTACGTGGTGGTGACTTTACCGAAAGAACCAAGATGATGAATCCCTGCAGTCACGAAAGCTTTAAATCAAAATTCATTTGCATTAAGTTTACAAGTGTCTGGTTGGTTTTGTGTGAGGGTAGGTGAGTGAGTGAGTGGGTGAGTGGGTGAGTGAGTGGGTGGGTGAGTGAGTGAGTGGGTGAGTGAGTGAGTGGGTGGGTGAGTGAGTGGGTGGGTGAGTGGGTGAATGAGTGGGTGGGTGGGTGAGTGAGTGGGTGGGTGAGTGAGTGGGTGAGTGAGTGGGTGGGTGGGTGAGTGAGTGAGTGGGTGAGTGAGTGGTGAGTGAGTGGGTGGGTGAGTGGGTGAGTGAGTGGGTGGGTGAGTGAGTGGGTGAGTGGGTGAGTGAGTGGGTGGTGAGTGAGTGAGTGGGTGAGTGAGTGAGTGGGTGGGTGAGTGGGTGAGTGAGTGGGTGGGTGAGTGAGTGGGTGAGTGGTGAGTGATGAGTGGATGGGTGGGTGAGTGAGTGGGTGGGTGGGTGAGTGAGTGGGTGGGTGAGTGGGTGGGTGGGTGAGTGGGTGAGTGAGTGGGTGAGTGAGTGGGTGAATGAGTGGGTGATGAGTGGAATGGGTGAGTGATGAGTGTGTCTCTCCCCAGTGCTAGGGATGTTTTTGTGAGTGCGTGTGTGTGAGTGACTCCAAACATCTCCATTGCTTCAATTATTTAATTCAAACAATGGCAAACTTCATCAGCAGCATCATAACCTTGGTAACATCAGCAAATATTAATACCACCATCATCACCATCACCGTGATCACAGCTCTTTCCATGTGACAACTTTTCATTGGCAAATTGAACTACCAGGCGAGGTAGTCAACATCTCCCGGGGTCTGGGATCGAATCCACGACCTCCTGTATACCAGGCGAGGTAGTCAACATCCCTCAGGGTCTAGGAGGGAACCCACGACCTCCTGTATACCAGGCGAGGTAGTAAACATCTCTCATGGTCTGAGATCGACACCACGACCTCCTGTATACCAGGCGAGGTAGTCAACATCTCCCGGGGTCTGGGATCGAACCCACGACCTCCTGTAGACCAGGCGAGGTAGTCAACATCTCTCAGTGTCTGAGATAGAACCCATGACCTCCTGTAGACCAGTCGAGGTAGTCAACATCTCTCAGGGTCTGGGATCGAACCCACGACCTCCTGTATACCAGGCGAGGTAGTCAACATCCCTCAGGGTCTAGGAGGGAACCCACGACCTCCTGTATACCAGGCGAGGTAGTCAACATCTCTCAGTGTCTGAGATAGAACCCACGACCTCCTGTAGACCTGGCGAGGTAGTCAACATCTCCCGGGGTCTGGGATCGAACCCACGACCTCCTGTATACCAGGCGAGGTAATCAACATTTCACCACCAATTATGAATCGTCACAACACAGACAAAGCTACCCCAGGTAGCCTCTAGCAGGGCTGTAGGGGCAAGTGCTGTTACACAGACACAGACAAAGCTACCCCAGGTAGCCTCTATCAGGGCTGTAGGGGCAAGTGCTGTTACACAGACACAGACAAAGCTACCCCAGGTAGCCTATAACAGGGCTGTAGGGGCAAGTGCTTTTAGTAGCGAGCAGCAGCAGCAGCGTCTATGAAGGCTACCGGCACCGTGGCTACACACAGAGGGAAAGGAGGGGTGTGGCCAGCACGACCACGCCCGGCCGCCTTTGTCTCTCCCCCAGTGCTAGCGATGTTTTACTACACCACCATCACCACCACCACCACTGCAGCACCACTATCACCACCACCATCACGACAACCACCACCATCACCACCATCACCACCACCATCACCACCACCATCACCACCATCACGACAACCACCACCATCACCACCATCACCACCACCACCACCATCACCACCACTGCAGCACCACTATCACCACCACCATCACCACCACCATCACCACCACCATCACCACCATCATCATCACCACCATCACCATCACGACCACCATCAAATCTATGATTAGCGGCAAAGATTAAATCATCGGTTAAATCGGCAAACAGATTCGTTACTACTGTCTTAATCAGTGTGTGTGTCTGTGTGTGTGTCTGCGTGTCTGTGTGTCTGTGTGTGTGTGTGGCTGAGGTGCCATCTGTTGAGGAAGTACTGAAGGCGATCCGGAGTCTGAGACCAGGAAAGGCACCGGGCAGAGATTATCTCCTAAGCGAAATATTGAGGGAGGGTGGCGTTTGTGCACAGACTGCCCTATATGACATCATAACAACAGTCTGGACCACTGGACAAGTCCCGCAGGATTGGAAGGATGCCCTGGTGGTCCCCCTCTTTAAGAAGGGGGACCGCACAGACTGTAACAACAACAGGGGCATCTCACTCCTCAGTGTGCCGGGAAAGGTCCTGGCAAGGATTATTCAACATCGCCTTGCCAGGCACGCTGAGGAGAGGCTTGCGGAGCCCCAATGCGGTTTCAGGAAAGGGCGGTCCTGCACAGATGCCATATTTTCTGTCCGTTTGCTACAGCAGAGGTGTAGGGAATTCCAACTAGACCTACATCTCTGCTTTTTTGACCTGGTCAAGGCCTATGATACCATCAGTAGGCCTGGGCTCTGGGTTGTTCTTCGTGCTTTTGGAGTCCCTGACCCTCTGCTCACGATCATTAAGGACCTTCATGATGGTGAGCGGGCCCGGGTAAAACTACGTGGCCGGGAGTCAGAGCCATTCCCTGTACACCTTGGGGTGCGACAGGGATGTCCTCTGGCTCCCACATTATTTAACATCTATTTTGACCATGTAGTTCGTGAAGCCTTCAATAGCTGTACTGGGGGAATCTCCATTTGGTACAGATATAATGGGAGGCTGATCGATGCCCGGGTGCGGTCAAGGGATGGCTCCCTATTGGTCAACCACCTTATGTATGCCAATGATTTGGTAATAGCTGCTCATTCAGAGGAGGAGTTGGAGACGCTGCTGCTGAGACTGGAGCAAGCCACTGAGAGATGGGGCCTTACCATCAGCCCCACCAAAACTAAGCACCTGCCTGGGTATTTTGTACCATCGGACACTCCACCCCACAACTCCCAATCGGTGATGGGGCAGTTGTGGAGAGAGTGGAGAGTTTTCCATACCTGGGCAATGTGCTTGTGACTGGCTCCAGTTTAACAGCAGAGGTCTCACTCCGAATCAGTCGAGCGGCAATATCTTTTCATCGGTTGCGTAACGCTGTGTGGAAGCTACCTGGTCTGTCGCTCCGCACTAAGCTTCAGGTCTTCTCGGCCACGGTCATTCCCTCCCCTCTCTACGCGTGCGAAACGTGGACCCCCCTAATAGAGCATCTTTGCCGGTTAGAAACATTTAGGCTGGCCTGCCTACGATCCATCCTGGGTTTAACCAGGCTGGATTGTGTGAGCTCACAAATCCTTGAAAGATCTGGGCAAAGTCCCATCGGTGAGCTCCTCCGGCAGGCAAGGCTGCGATGGCTGGGTCATGTAGCCCGCATGCCCAGCCACCGCATGCCGAAACAGCTTTTGTTCAGCCGGATCGAGGCGGCTAAACGGGCGCGGCACGGGCTATAGAAGAGATGGAGTGATGTGGTACAGGAGGACGTGGAGCTGAGTGGACTTGCCGATGACTGGTACCAGCGGTGTCAAGATCGGCCTCTGTGGAGGAGGCTCGTGAAGGTCGCTACTGGGCAGTTGGAGGCAGTCGCCCTCCAACAACAACGGAGGGCGGAGGAGCGACGCTCACAACAACGAGCGGAGCGCCGGGTGGCTAAAGCACGGCAGGTTGGCACAGTAGGGGGCACAGGTGGTGCATCAGCCAGTCATCTCAGTCAGTCGACCCGTGGCACCTGCTGGGTCTGCCCCGTGACCTCCTGCCAGCGGGCGTTCGACACTTCACGTGGCCTCAGGGTGCACATAGCCTGGCACAAGCGTCGTGGTGACGTCACCGCCACTTAGTGGCGAATGGCGGTTGTTGTTGTTGTTGTAGGTGAGTGTGTAGGTGTGTGCGTCTGTGTGTGTGTGTGTGTCTGTGTGTGTGTGTATCTGTGTGTGTGTGTCTGTGTGTGTGTGTCTGTGTGTGTGTCTGTGTGTCTGTGTGTGTGTCTGTGTGTGTCTGTGTGTGTGTCTGTGTGTGTGTCTGTGTGTGTGTCTGTGTGTGTCTGTGTGTGTGTCTGTGTGTGTGTGTGTCTGTGTGTGTGTCTGTGTGTGTGTCTGTGTGTCTGTGTGTGTGTCTGTGTGTGTGTGTGTCTGTGTGTGTGTCTGTGTGTGTGCTGGGTGTGCGTCTGTGTGTCTGTGTGTGCGTCTGTGTGTGTGTCTGTGTGTCTGTGTGTGTGTCTGTGTGTGTGTGTGTGTATGTGTGTGTGTCTGTGTATGTGTGTCTGTGTGTGTGTCTGTGTGTGTCTGTGTGTGTGTGTGTCTGTGTGTGTGTGTCTGTGTGTGTGTGTGTCTGTGTGTGTGTCTGTGTGTGTGTCTGTGTGTCTGTGTGTGTGTCTGTGTGTGTGTGTGTCTGTGTGTGTGTCTGTGTGTGTGCTGGGTGTGCGTCTGTGTGTCTGTGTGTGCGTCTGTGTGTGTGTCTGTGTGTCTGTGTGCGTGTCTGTGTGTGTGTGTGTGTCTGTGTGTGTGTCTGTGTATGTGTGTCTGTGTGTGTGTCTGTGTGTGTCTGTGTGTGTGTGTGTCTGTGTGTGTGTGTCTGTGTGTGTGTGTGTCTGTGTGTGTGTCTGTGTGTGTGTCTGTGTGTGTGTCTGTGTGTGTGTCTGTGTGTGTCTGTGTGTGTGTCTACAGCTTGGCTTTGGGTAGAGTTGTCACCAGACTCTGCAGCTTCATAGCGGCCGCCATGCTGCCAGCAATCTTCATCTTACCCTGGAAGAAAGCCTGCAGGAGACCCACAGAGAGAGACTAAAACACTGCACCATAGACTCAACACTGCCCATAGACTCAACACCGCACCATAGACTCAGCACTGCTACCCATAGAGTCAACACCGCACCATAGACTCAGCACTACCCCATAGACTCAACACTGCACCATAGACTCAACACTGCACCATAGACTCAACACTGCCACCTATAGACTCAACACTGCCCATTGACTCAACACTGCCCATAAGACTCAACACAGCCCATAGACTCAACACTGCACCATCGACTCAACACTGCCCCATAGACTCAACACTGCACCATAGACTCAACACTGCACCAGAGACTCAACACTGCACCATATACTCAACACTGCCCCATAGACTCAACACTGCACCATAGACTCAACACTGCCCCATAGACTCAACACTGCACCATAGACTCAACACTGCACCATAGACTCAACACTGCCCATAGACTCAACACTGCACCACAGACTCAACACTGCCCATAGACTCAACACTGCACCATAGACTCAACACAGCTACCCATAGAGTCAACACCGCACCATAGACTCAGCACTACCCCATAGACTCAACACTGCACCATAGACTCAACACTGCACCATAGACTCAACACTGCCACCTATAGACTCAACACTGCCCATTGACTCAACACTGCCCATAGACTCAACACAGCCCATAGACTCAACACTGCCCATAGACTCAACACTGCACCATAGACTCAACACTGCCCATAGACTCAACACTGCACCATAGACTCAACACTGCCCATAGACTCAACACTGCCCCAGAGACTCAACACTGCACCAGACTCAACACTGCCACCTACAGACTCAACACTGCACCATAGACTCAACACTGCCCATAGACTCAACACTGGACCAGAGACTCAACACTGCACCATAGACTCAACACCGCACCATAGACTCAACACTGCCCATAGACTCAACACTGCACCATAGACTCAGCACTGCACCAGACTCAACACAGCCCATAGACTCAACACTGCCCATAGACTCAACACTGCACCATAGACTCAACACTGCACCATAGACTCAGCACTGCACCAGACTCAACACAGCCCATAGACTCAACACTGCCCATAGACTCAACACTGCACCATAGACTATCAACACTGCCCATAGACTCAACACTGCACCATAGACTCAACACTGCACCATAGACTCAGCACTGCACCATAGACTCAACACTGCACCATAGACTCAACACTGCACCATAGACTCAACACTGCACCATAGACTCAACACTGCCCATAGACTCAACACTGCCCATAGACTCAACACTGAACCATAGACTCAACACTGCCCATAGACTCAACACTGCACCATAGACTCAATACTGCACCATAGACTTAACACTGCACCATAGACTCAACACTGCCCATAGACTCAACACAGCCCATAGACTCAACACTGCACCATAGACTCAACACTGCACCATAGACTTAACACTGCATCATAGACTCAACACTGCACCATAGACTCAACACTGCCCCAGAGACTCAACACTGCACCATAGACTCAACACTGCACCATAGACTCAACACTGCACCATAGACTCAGCACTGCACCATAGACTCAACACTGCACCATAGACTCAACACTGCACCATAGACTCAACACTGCACCATAGACTCAACACTGCCCCAGAGACTCAACACTGCACCATAGACTCAACACTGCACCATAGACTCAGCACTGCACCATAGACTCAACACTGCACCATAGACTCAACACTGCTACCCATAGACTCAACACTGCACCATAGACTCAACACTACCCATAGACTCAACACTGCACCATAGACTCAACACTGCCCATAGACTCAACACTGCACCATAGACTCAACACCGCACCATAGACTCAACACTGCTACCCATAGACTCAACACTGCACCATAGACTCAACACTACCCATAGACTCAACACTGCACCATAGACTCAACACTGCACCATAGACTCAACACTGCACCATAGACTCAACACTGCACCATAGACTCAGCACTGCACCATAGACTCAACACTGCCCATAGACTCAACACTGCCCATAGACTCAACACTGAACCATAGACTCAACACTGCCCATAGACTCAACACAGCCCATAGACTCAACACTGCACCATAGACTCAATACTGCACCATAGACTTAACACTGCACCATAGACTCAACACTGCCCATAGACTCAACACAGCCCATAGACTCAACACTGCACCATAGACTCAACACTGCACCATAGACTTAACACTGCACCATAGACTCAACACTGCACCATAGACTCAACACTGCCCCAGAGACTCAACACTGCACCATAGACTCAACACTGCACCATAGACTCAACACTGCACCATAGACTCAGCACTGCACCATAGACTCAACACTGCACCATAGACTCAACACTGCACCATAGACTCAACACTGCACCATAGATTCAACACTGCCCCAGAGACTCAACACTGCACCATAGACTCAACACTGCACCATAGACTCAGCACTGCACCATAGACTCAACACTGCACCATAGACTCAACACTGCTACCCATAGACTCAACACTGCACCATAGACTCAACACTACCCATAGACTCAACACTGCACCATAGACTCAACACTGCCCATAGACTCAACACTGCACCATAGACTCAACACCGCACCATAGACTCAACACTGCCCATAGACTCAACACTGCACCATAGACTCAACACTGCCCATAGACTTACACTGCACCATAGCCTCAACACTGCACCATAGACTCAACACTGCACCATAGACTCAACACTGCCCCATAGACTCAACACTGCACCATTGACTAACACTACCCATAGACTCAACACTGCACCATAGACTCAACACTGCCCCATAGACTCAACACTGCGCCATAGACTCAGCACTGCACCATAGACTCAACACTGCACCATTGACTAACACTACCCATAGACTCAACACTGCACCATAGACTCAACACCGCACCATAGACTCAACACTGCACCATAGACTTAACACTGCACCATAGACTCACAACTGCCACCTATAGACTCAACACTGCCCATAGACTAAACACTGCTCCATAGACTCAACACTGCACCATAGACTCAACACTGCACCATAGACTCAATACTGCCCATTAGACTCAACACTGCACCATAGACTCAACACTGCCCCAGAGACTCAACACTGCCCATTAGACTCAACACTGCACCATAGACTCAACACTGCACCATAGAATCAACACTGCCCATAGACTCAACACTGCACCATAGACTCAACACTGTACCATAGACTCAACACTGCACCATAGACTCAACACTGCACCATAGACTCAACACTGCACCATAGACTCAACACTGCACCATAGACTCAACACTGCACCATAGACTCAACACTGCACCATAAACTCAACACTGCACCATAGACTCAAAACTGCACCATAGACTCAGCACTGCACCATAGACTCAACACTGCCCCATAGACTCAATACTGCACCATAGACTCAACACTGCACCATAGACTTACCACTGCACCATAGACTCAACACTGCCACCTATAAACTCAACACTGCCCATAGACTAAACACTGCACCATTGACTCAACACTGCACCATACACTCAGCACTGCACCATAGACTCAACACTGCACCATAGACTCAACACTGCACCATAGACTCAACACTGCCCATAGACTCAACACTGCACCATAGACTCAACACTGCCCCAGAAACTCAACACTGCCCCAGAGACTCAACACTGCACCATAGACTCAACACTGCACCAGACTCAGCACTGCACCATAGACTCAGCACTGCCCCATAGACTCAACACTGCTACCCATAGACTCAACACTGCACCATAGACTCAACACTGCTACCCATAGACTCAACACTACCCATAGACTCAACACTGCACCATAGACACAACACTGCCCATATACTCAACACCGCACCATAGACTCAACACTGCCCATAGACTCAACACTGCACCATAGACTCAACACTGCCCCATAGACTCAACACTGCACCATTGACAAACACTACCCATAGACTCAACACTGCACCATCGACTCAACACTGCCCCATAGACTCAACACTGCGCCATAGACTCAGCACTGCACCATAGACTCAACACTGCACCATTGACTAACACTGCACCATAGACTCAGCACTGCACCATAGACTCAACACTGCCCCATAGACTCAACACTGCACCATCGACTAACACTACCCATAGACTTAACACTGCACCATAGACTCAACACTGCCCCATAGACTCAACACTGCACCATCGACTAACACTACCCATAGACTCAACACTGCACCATAGACTCAACACTGCCCCATAGACTCAACACTGCCCCATAGACTCAACACTGCACCACTGACTAACATTACCCATAGACTCAACACTGCACCATAGACTCAACACCGCACCATAGACTTAACACTGCACCATAGACTTAACACTGCACCATAGACTCATCACTGCCCATAGACTCAACACTGCCACCTATAGACTCAACACTGCCCATAGACTAAACACTGCACCATAGACTCAACACCGCACCATAGACTCAACACTGCACCATAGACTTAACACTGCACCATAGACTCAGCACTGCCACCTATAGACTCAACACTGCCCATAGACTAAACACTGCACCATCGACTCAACACTGCACCAACGACTCAACACTGCACCATAGACTCAACACTGCCCATTAGACTCAACACTGCACCATAGACTCAACACTGCCCCAGAGACTCAACACTGCCCATTAGACTCAACACTGCCCCAGAGACTCAACACTGCACCGTAGACTCAACACTGCACCATAGACTCAGAACTGCACCATAGACTCAACACTGCACCATAGACTCAACACTGTCCCAGAGACTCAACACTGCCCATTAGACTCAACACTGCCCCAGAGACTCAACACTGCACCGTAGACTCAACACTGCACCATAGACTCAGCACTGCACCATAGACTCAACACTGCACCATAGACTCAACACTGCACCATAGACTCAACACTGCACCAGAGACTCAGCACTGCACCATAGACTCAACACTGCACCATAGACTCAACACTGCACCATATACTCAACACTGCACCAGAGACTCAGCACTGCACCATAGACTCAACACTGCACCATAGACTCAACACTGCACCATAGACTCAACACTGCACCAGAGACTCAGCACTGCACCATAGACTCAACACTGCACCATAGACTCAACACTGCACCAGAGACTCAGCACTGCACCATAGACTCAACACTGCACCATAGACTCAACACTGCACCATAGACTCAACACTGCACCAGAGACTCAGCACTGCACCATAGACTCAACACTGCACCATAGACTCAACACTGCACCATAGACTCAACACTGCCACCTATAGACTCAACACTGTACCATAGACTCAGAACTGCTCCATAGACTCAGAACTGCTCCACAGACTCAACACTGCACCATAGACTCAGCACTGCACCATAGACTCAACACTGCACCATAGACTCAACACTGCACCATACACTCAACACTGCACCATAGACTCAACACTGCACCATAGACTCAACACTGCCCATAGACTCAACACTGCCCATAGACTCAACACTGCACCATAGACTCAACACTGCACCATAGACTCAACACTGCACCAGAGACTCAGCACTGCACCATAGACTCAACACTGCACCATAGACTCAACACTGCACCATAGACTCAGCACTGCACCATAGACTCAACACTGCACCATAGACTCAACACTGCACCATAGACTCAACACTGCACCAGAGACTCAGCACTGCACCATAGACTCAACACTGCACCGTAGACTCAACACTGCACCATAGACTCAGCACTGCACCATAGACTCAACACTGCACCATAGACTCAACACTGCACCATAGACTCAACACTGCACCAGAGACTCAGCACTGCACCATAGACTCAACACTGCACCATAGACTCAACACTGCACCATAGACTCAACACTGCACCAGAGACTCAGCACTGCACCATAGACTCAACACTGCACCATAGACTCAACACTGCACCATAGACTCAACACTGCACCAGAGACTCAGCACTGCACCATAGACTCAACACTGCACCATAGACTCAACACTGCACCATAGACTCAACACTGCACCAGAGACTCAGCACTGCACCATAGACTCAACACTGCACCATAGACTCAACACTGCACCAAAGACTCAGCACTGCACCATAGACTCAACACTGCACCATAGACTCAACACTGCACCATAGACTCAACACTGCCACCTATAGACTCAACACTGTACCATAGACTCAGAACTGCTCCATAGACTCAGAACTGCTCCACAGACTCAACACTGCACCATAGACTCAGCACTGCACCATAGACTCAACACTGCACCATAGACTCAACACTGCACCATAGACTCAACACTGCCCATAGACTCAACACTGCCCATAGACTCAACACTGCCCATAGACTCAACACTGCACCATAGACTCAACACTGCACCATAGACTCAACACTGCACCATAGACTCAACACTGCACCATAGACTCAACACTGCACCATAGACTCAATACTGCACCATAGACTCAACACTGCCCCATATCCTCAACACTGCACCATAGACTCAACACTGCACCATAGACTCAACACTGCTCATAGACTCAACACTGCACCATAGACTCAACACTGCCCATAGACTCAACACCGCACCATAGACTCAACACTGCACCTTAGACTCAACACCGCACCGTAGACTCAACACTGCCCCACAGACTCAACACTGCCCCATAGACTCAACACTGCACCATAGACTCAACACTGCCCCATAGACTCAACACTGCATCATAGACTCAACACTGCACCATAGACTCAACACTGCCCCAAAGACTCAGCACTGCCCATTAGACTCAACACTGCACCATAGACTCAACACTGCACCATAGACTCAACACTGCACCATAGACTCAACACTGCACCATAGACTTAACACTGCACCATAGACTCAACACTGCACCATAGACTCAACACTGCTACCCATAGACTCACCACTGCACCATAGACTCAACACTGCACCATAGACTCAACACTGCACCATAGACTCAACAGCGCCCTAGTTGTGCGAGTTCACGGTAAGTGAGTGGTGAGTTAATGAAGTGGATCTCCGTCAAGGCAGCTAGTGGGCTCACCGTCTGAGGGTTGAGTCTGCCGGACATCACGGACACAAGGTCTTCATCGGACACGGACAGAGACACATCCGCGGGCAGACCTGTTGAAAGACAGAGAGAAAGCACCCGTGTCTGTGTGTGTCTGTCTGTGCGTGTGTGTCTATGTCTGTGTATGTGTGTGTCTGTGTGTGTGAGTCTCTGTCTGTCTGTGTGTGTCTGTGTGTCTCTTCGTTTGTGCCCGTGTCTCTCTCTCCCCGTGTCTCTCTCTCCCCGTGTCTCTCTCCCCGTGTCTCTCTCTCCCCGTGTCTCTCTCTCCCCGTGTCTCTCTGTCCCCGTGTCTCTCTCTTCCCGTGTCTCTCTCCCCGTGTCTCTCTCTCTCCGTGTCTCTCTCTCCCCGTGTCTCTCTCTCCCCGTGTCTCTCTCTCCCCGTGTCTCTCTCTCCCCGTGTCTCTCTCTCCCCGTGTCTCTCTCTCCCCGTGTCTCTCTCTCCCCGTGTCTCTCTGTCCCCGTGTCTCTCTCTCCCCGTGTCTCTCTCCCCGTGTCTCTCTCTCCCCGTGCCCCTTTCACCCCGTGTCTCTCTCTCCCCGTGTCTCTCTCTCCCCGTGACTCTCTCTCCCCATGTCTCTCTCTCCCCGTGTCTCTCTCTCCCCGTGTCTCTCTCTCCCCGTGTCTCTCTCTCCCCGTGTCTCTCTCTCCCCGTGTCTCTCTCTCCCCGCGTCTCTCTCTCCCCGCGTCTCTCTCTCTCCCCGTGTCTCTCTCTCCCCGTGTCTCTCTCTCCCCGCGTCTCTCTCTCCCCGTCTCTCTCTCTCCCCGTGTCTCTCTCTCCCCGTGTCTCTCTCTCCCCGTGTCTCTCTCTCCCCGTGTCTCTCTCTCACCGTGTCTCTCTCTCCCCGTGTCTCTCTCTCTCCGTGTCTCTCTCTCCCCGTGTCTCTCTCTCCCCGTGTCTCTCTCTCCCCGTGTCTCTCTCTCCCCGTGTCTCTCTCTCCCCGCGTCTCTCTCTCCCCGCGTCTCTCTCTCTCCCTGTGTCTCTCTCTCCCCGTGTCTCTCTCTCCCCGCGTCTCTCTCTCCCCGTGTCTCTCTCTCCCCGTGTCTCTCTCTCCCCGTGTCTCTCTCTCCCCGTGTCTCTCTGTCCCCGTGTCTCTCTCTCTCCCCGTGTCTCTCTCTCCCTGCGTCTCTCTCTCTCCCCGTGTCTCTCTCTCCCCGTGTCTCTCTCTCCCCGTGTCTCTCTCTCCCCGTGTCTCTCTCTCCCCGTGTCTCTCTCTCCCCGTGTCTCTCTCTCTCCCCGTGTCTCTCTCTCCCTGCGTCTCTCTCTCTCCCCGTGTCTCTCTCTCCCCGTGTCTCTCTCTCCCCGTGTCTCTCTCTCCCCGTGTCTCTCTCTCCCCGTGTCTCTCTCTCCCCATACCACTTGCGTAGTGGACACTTCCATTCCCGGTTTTTACGTCAACAGTCCAAACTCCGATTTCATCTCCGGTGCCACGGACGCGGAATTCAAAGACGGAAGACAGCTTCTGTACCAGGGACTCTCCCTCCTGAGACACACAGAGACACACAGAGACACACAGAGACTCACAGAGACACACAGAGATACACAGAGACTCACACAGAGACACACAGAGACTCACAGAGACACACAGAGACTCACAGAGACACTCATAGAGACACACAGAGACACACAGAGACACACAGAGACACACACAGAGACTCACAGAGACACACACAGAGATACACAGAGACACACAGAGACTCACAGAGACACACAGAGACACACAGAGATACACAGAGACACACACATACACACAGAGACACACAGAGACTCAGAGACACACAGAGACTCACAGAGACACACACAGTCTCACAGAGACACACAGAGACTCACAGAGACACACACAGAGACACAGAAACACACAGAGACTCAGAGACACACAGAGACTCACAGAGACACAGAGACACAGAGACCCACAGACACACAGAGACTCACATAGACTCACAGACACACAGAGACACACAGAGACTCACATAGACTCACATAGACTCACAGAGACACACAGAGACATACAGAGAGACACAGAGACCCACACAGAGACACACAGAGACACACAGAGACTCACAGAGACAGACAGAGACACACAGAGACACACAGAGATACACAGAGACACACAGAGACACACACATACACACAGAGACACACAAGAGACTCACAGAGACTCACAGAGACACACACAGAGACTCACATAGACACACACAGAGACACACAGAGACACACAGAGACTCACCGAGACACACAGAGACTCACACAGAGACACACAGAGACACTCATAGAGACACACAGAGACACACAGAGACACACAGAGACGCACAGAGACTCACAGAGACACACAGAGACACACAGAGACTCACACAGAGACTGAAATAGACACACACAGAGACTCACAGAGACACACACAGACAGACACAGAGACACACATAGACTCACAGAGACACAGAGACACACAGAGAGACTCACAGAGATACACACAGACAGACACAGAGACAGAGACTCACAGACACACAGACACACACAGAGACTCCCATAGACTCACAGACACACACAGAGACACACAGAGACTCACAGAGATACACAGAGACACACAGAGACTCACAAAGACTCACACACACACAGAGACACACAGAGACACACAGAGACTCACAGAGACACACAGAGATACACACAGAGACTCACAGAGACACACAGAGACTCACAGAGACACACAGAGACTCACAGAGACACTCATAGAGACACACAGAGACACACAGAGACACACAGAGACACACACAGAGATACACAAAGACACACAGAGACTCACAGAGACACACAGAGACACACACAGAGACTGAAATAGACACACACAGAGACTCACAGAGACACACACAGACAGACACAGAGACACACATAGACTCACAGAGACACACAGAGAGACTCACAGAGATACACACAGACAGACACAGAGACAGAGACTCACAGACACACAGACACACACAGAGACTCCCATAGACTCACAGAGACTCACAGAGACACACAGAGATACACAGAGATACACAGAGACACACACAGAGACACACACAGAGACACACAGAGACTCACAGACACACAGATACACACACAGATTCACAGAGACTCACAGACACACACAGAGATACACAGAGAGACACAGAGACACTCACAGAGACTCAGAGACACAGAGACTCAGAGACACAGAGACTCAGAGAGACTCACAGAGACTCACAGAGACACACAGACACACACAGATAGACACAGAGAAACACAGAGAGACTCACAGAGACACAGAGAAACACACAGAGACACACAGACACAGGGAAACACACAGAGACACACAGAGAGACTCACAGAGACAAACACAGATAGACAAACCAGCTCCAGTCTCTTGGCAATGTCTCTAAAGACAGCGGCCGACTTGAAGTTGTCCTCCTTGGGAGTCGAAGATCCAGAGACAGACACCATCACAGGGACACGCCTACATAGACACACACACACACACAGACACAGTCACACATAGACACACTCACACACACACACAACAACAACAACCGCCATTCGCCACTAAGTGGCGGTGACGTCACCACGACGCTTGTGCCAGGCCATGTGCACCCTGAGGCCACGTGAAGTGTCGAACGCCCGCTGGCAGGAGGTCACGGGGCAGACCCAGCAGGTGCCACGGGTCGACTGACTGAGATGACTGAGATGACTGGCTGATGCACCACCTGTGCCCCCTACTGTGCCAACCTGCTGTGCTTTAGCCACCTGGCGCTCCGCTCGTTGTTGTGAGCGTCGCTCCTCCGCCCTCCGTTGTTGTTGGAGGGCGACTGCCTCCAACTGCCCAGTAGCGTCCTTCACGAGCCTCCTCCACAGAGGCCGATCTTGACACCGCTGGTACCAGTCATCGGCAAATCCACTCAGCTCCACATCCTCCTGTACCACATCACTCCATCTCTTCTCTAGCCCGTGCCGCGCCCGCTTAGCCCCCTCAATCCGGCCAAACAAAAGCTGTTTCGGCATGTGGTGGCTGGGCATGCGGGCTACATGACCCAGCCAACGCAGCCTTGCCTGCCGGAGCTCACCGATGGGACCGTGCCCAGATCTTTCAAAGATTTGTGAGCTCCTCACACAATCCAGCCTGGTTAAACCCAGGATAGATCGGAGGCAGGCTAGCCTAAATGTTTCTAACTGGCGAAGATGTTCCATTAGGTGGGTCCACGTTTCGCAAGCGTAGAGGAGGGAATGACCGTGGCCGAGAAGACCTGAAGCTTAGTGCGGAGCGACAGACCAGGTAGCTTCCACACAGCGTTACGCAACCGATGAAAATATAATGCCGCTCGACTGATTCGGAGTGAGACTTCTGTTGTTAAACTGGAGCCGGTCATAAGCACACTGCCCAGTTATGGGAAACTCTCCACTCTCTCCACAACTGCCCCATCACCGATTGGGAGTTGTGGGGGTGGAGTGTCCGATGGTACAAAATACCCAGGCAGGTGCTTAGTTTTGGTGGGGCTGATGGTAAGGCCCCACCTCTTAGTGGCACGCTCCAGTCTCAGCAGCAGCGTCTCCAACTCCTCCTCTGAATGAGCAGCTATTACCAAATCATCAGCATACATAACGTGGTTGAGCAATAGGGAGCCATCCCTTGACCGCACCCGGGCATAGATCAGCCTCCCATTACATCTGTACCAAATGGAGATTCCCCCGGTACAGCTATTGAAGGCTTCACGAACTACGTGATCAAAATAGCTGTTAAATAATGTGGGAGCCAGAGGACATCCCTGTCGCACCCCAAGGTGTACAGGGAATGGCTCTGACTCCCGGCCACGTAGTTTTACCCGGGCCCGCTCACCAACATGAAGTTCCTTAATGATTGTGAGCAGAGGGTCAGGGACTCCAAAAGCACGAAGAACAACCCAGATCCCAGGCCTAATGATGGAATCATAGGCCTTGACCATGTCAATAAAGCAGAGATGTAGGTCTTGTTGGAATTCCCTACACCTCTGCTGTAGCATATGGACAGAAAATATGGCATCTGTGCAGGACCGCCCTTTCCTGAAACCGCATTGGGGCTCCGCAAGCCTCTCCTCAGCGTGCCTGGTTAGGCGATGTTGAATAATCCTAGCCAGGACCTTTCCCGGCACACTGAGGAGTGAGATGCCCCTGTAGTTGTTACAGTCTGTGCTGTCCCCCTTCTTAAAGAGGGGGACCACCAGGGCATCCTTCCAATCCTGCGGAACCTGTCCAATGGTCCAGACTGTTGTTATGATGTCATATAGGGCAGTCTGTGCACAAACGCCACCCTCCCTCAGCATTTCGCTTGGGAGATCATCTCTGCCCGCTGCCTTTCCTGATCTCGGACTCCGGATCGCCCTCAGTACATCCTCAACAGATGGCACCTCAGCCAGCCACTCACAGGGGGTGACTTCTTCCAATATTTGAGGCACCGCAGCCTCAGCAGGGTCATCCTCACTTTGTGCCACGATATTTTCCTGGCTGAGGGATTTTCCCTCCCCCAGGACCTCACAGAAATGCTCTGCAAATCTGCAAACCTGTTCCTGGGGGTCGGAGATTGGATCTACGTTTTTTCCCCGAATGATGGTAATAGGTGTGGCGCTGAAGGTTACTTTTTTGATGGAGTTAAATAGAGATTTGTGATCACGGGCCACTGAGGCAGACTCCATCTCCTCCGCAACCTACGACCACCACCCATCCTTGCAGCGCCTCACGGCTTTCCGAACCTCCGAGCGAAGGCTGCGGTAAGCCTCCTCATTCTCTGACGTGGGATTCTGTAGCCGATGACAGTGGGCCTATCACTTTTTCTCAACCATCCTTAACACCTCCTCTTTCAGCCAGGGTCTCTGGGGAGGTCTGGACCGTGTACCCAAAGCAGCCATTGCAGCTGCATGAGCCACAGTCCTAAACCTCGTCCATTTACCCTCGACATCAGGAGGAGTGGGGGACGATGCCAATCCCAGCCGCAAGCGATGATGAAATTCTCGCTTGCAACTTTCATCAGATAACTGAGACCAGGCCACTTTAGGTTGGAATGGGGTCCTGGGTGTACACCCACCACCGGAGTAGAAGAATGGCAGGCGCATCTTACAGATGACTAGTCGATGGTCAGAGGGCAGATCAGCTCCACGGTAGGTCCTGGTGTCAAGGACATGGGCCCGCATCCGCTGGTCCGTCACTATGTAGTCCAGCAGATGTTCTTGCTTGGACCCGGCATGCATCCATGATGTGTGGATGCGCCGATTCCGGAACAGCGTGTTGGTAATTACAAGCCCATGGGCTGCACAAAAATCTAGCAGCCTCCTACCGTTGTTATTGAGCTGATCTGGCCCATGCCCTCCAATCACTCCAGACCAGGTCCCAGCATCATGACCAACTCGGGCATTGAAGTCACCCAACAAGATGACTCTATCCCGAGGGGCCACTTTAGCCAGCACCTGTGACAGGTCATAGAAGGCATCTGACTCATCGGCTTTGCCTGCATCCCTCCACGGATGTTCATCTTCGGTGGGGGCATAAGTAACCACGACCACCACTCCTCGCCTCCGGTTGATGGGAAGGCGAGCCCAAAGTAGCCTGGGGCTTACAGCTTCCCACACCTCACCGCTACGCTCCCACGCCCCCTTCATTCTTTTGTTCAAAAGAAGAGCTACACCCTGTTGTTTGGCAGTCTGCTGCCCCGAGTAGAGGACTGTCCACCCCTCATGGTGGCAGGAGCCAGAACCGGTCCACCGGACCTCCTGAATGCCACAGAGATCCAGGCGGTACCGGTCCAGCACCTGACAGAGGAGTGGCAGCCTCTCCTCCGCAGTGAGCGTTCGAACATTCCACGTGGCCACCCGTAGTGGCTTTTCGTTGTTTCTGGAGGAGCCCCGAGGGTTGAGATTCAATCTCCTGGCTCCGCCAATTGGGGTTTGGCCAGGAGACGTCATAGACGCCTGTCCCCCCGGGGCCTCCGGCACAAGCTTATTAGTTACACACACAGACACACACACAGACACACACACACATAGACACACAGTCACATAGTTAGTGGTGACGGTGGTGACGGTGGTGAAGGTAGTACTAGTTAGTGTACTAGTTAGTGGTAGTTAGTGGTAGTTAGTACTAGTTAGTCATAGTTAGTGTACTAGTTAGTGATAGTTAGTGCTAGTTAGTGTTAGTGTACTAGTTAGTGCTAGTTAGTGTTAGTTAGTGAACTAGTTAGTAAAAGTACTAGTTAGTGATAGTTAGTCCTAGTTAGTGATAGTCCTAGTTAGTGTACTAGTTAGTGATAGTTAGTGATAGTTAGTACTAGTTAGTGATAGTTAGTACTAATCAGTGATAGTGTACTAGTTAGTGATGTTAGTAGTGCTAGCTAGTGTTAGTTAGTGTACTAGTTAGTGATAGTTAGCACTAGTTAGTGATAGTTAGTGATAGTGTACTAGTTAGTGATAGCTAGTGCTAGTTAGTGCTAGTTAGTAGTACTAGTTAGTGTGTTAGTGCTAGTAGTGCTAGCTAGTGTTCTAGTTAGTGTACTAGCCAGCGTTAGTGTACTAGTTAGTGTTAGTGTACTAGTTAGTGTACTAGTTAGTGTACTAGTTAGTGATGTTAGTGGTGCTAGCTAGTGTTAGTGTACCAGTTAGTGCTAGCTAGTGTACTAGTTAGTGTACTAGCTAGTGTTAGTATACTAGTTAGTGCTAGTTAGTACTAGTTAATAGTGCTAGTTAATGATAGTTTGTACTAGTTAGTGTACTAGTTAGTGTACTAGTTAGTGATAGTTAGTACTAGTTATAGTGCTAGTTGGTGTACTAGTTGGTGTACTAGTTGGTGTACTAGTTGGTGTACTAGTTGGTGTACTAGTTGGTGTGCTAGTTGGTGTGCTAGTTGGTGTGCTAGTTGGTGTGCTAGTTGGTGTGCTAGTTGGTGTGCTAGTTAGTGTGCTAGTTGGTGTGCTAGTTGGTGTACTAGTTGGTGTACTAGTTGGTGTACTAGTTGGTGTACTAGTTGGTGTACTAGTTGGTGTACTATTTGGTGTACTAGTTGGTGTACTAGTTAGTGTACTAGTTGGTGTACTAGTTGGTGTACTAGTTAGTGTACTAGTGTACTAGTTGGTGTACTAGTTAGTGTATTAGTTGGTGTACTAGTTGGTGTACTAGTTGGTGTACTAGTTAGTGTACTAGTTGGTGTACTAGTGTAATAGTTGGTGTACTAGTTGGTGTACTAGTTGGTGTACTAGTTGTACTAGTTGGTGTACTAGTTGTACTAGTTGGTGTACTAGTTAGTGTACTAGTTGGTGCTAGTTAAAGTAGTTAACGTGGTTGTGGTGTTGTTGAAGGCTGTCTCAGTGCCAGGAGGAGACACGGGGAGAGAGAGACACGTACTAGTTAGTGTACTAGTTAGTGTACTAGTTAGTGTGCTAGTTAGTGTGCTAGTTAGTGTGCTAGTTGGTGTGCTAGTTGGTGTACTAGTTAGTGTACTAGTTAGTGTGCTAGTTAGTGTACTAGTTAGTGTACTAGTTGGTGTACTAGTTAGTGTACTAGTTGGTGCTAGTTAGTGTACTAGTTGGTGCACTAGTTGGTGTACTAGTTGGTGCTAGTTAATGATAGTTAGTACTAGTTGGTGTACTAGTTGGTGTACTAGTTGGTGTACTAGTTGGTGTACTAGTTAGTGTACTAGTTAGTGTACTAGTTAAGGTAGTTAACGTGGTGGTGTTGTTGAAGGCTGTCTCAGTGTCAGGAGGAGACACGGGGAGAGAGAGAGAGACACGTACTAGTTAGTGTACTAGTTGGTGTACTAGTTGGTGTACTAGTTGGTGTACTAGTTGGTGTACTAGTTGGTGTACTAGTTGGTGTACTAGTTGGTGTACTAGTTGGTGTACTAGTTGGTGTACTAGTTAGTTTACTAGTTAGTTTACTAGTTGGTGTACTAGTTGGTGTACTAGTTGGTGTACTAGTTGGTGTACTAGTTGGTGTACTAGTTAGTGTACTAGTTAGTTTACTAGTTGGTGTACTAGTTGGTGTACTAGTTAGTGTACTAGTTAGTGATAGTTAGTACTAGTTATTCTACTAGTTATTGTACTAGTTACTGTACTAGTTAGTGTGCTAGTTAGTGTACTAGTTGGTGTACTAGTGTACTAGTTGGTGTACTAGTTAGTGTACTAGTTAGTGTACTAGTTAGGGTGCTAGTTGGCACTAGTTAGTGTACTAGTTAGTGTACTAGTTGGTGTACTAGTTAGTGTACTAGTTGGTGTACTAGTTAGTGTACTAGTTAGTGTACTAGTTAGTGTACTAGTTGGTGTACTAGTTGGTGTACTAGTTAGTGTACTAGTTAGTGTACTAGTTAAGGTAGTTAACCTGGTGGTGGTGTTGTTGAAGGCTGTCTCAGTGCCAGGAGGAGACACGGGGAGAGAGAGACGTACTAGTTAGTGTACTAGTTAGTTTACTAGTTAGTGTGCTAGTTAGTGTGCTAGTTGGTGTACTAGTTGGTGTACTAGTTGGTGTACTAGTGTACTAGTTGGTGTACTAGTTGGTGTACTAGTTGGTGTACTAGTTGGTGTACTAGTTAGTGCTAGTTAGGGTACTAGTTAGTGTACTAGTTAGTGCTAGTTAGTGTACTAGTTAGTCTACTAGTTAGTGTACTAGTTAGTGTGTTAGTTAGTGTACTAGTTGGTGCTAGTTAGTGTACTAGTTAGTGTACTAGTTAGTGATAGTTAGTGCTAGTTAGTGCTAGTTACCGGCTAGCGCCCTCCCGCGTGAACCCCATGCCGTAGATGGCCACAACCACGGCTCCCCCTAGGCCCAGGTTGTGCTGGAGGCCGTGGACGGAGCTAGTTAGTGTACTAGTTAGTGTACTAGTTAGTGTACTAGTTGGTGTACTAGTTGGTGTACTAGTTGGTGTACTAGTTGGTGTACTAGTTGGTGTACTAGTTGGTGTACTAGTTGGTGTACTAGTTAGTGTACTAGTTGGTGTACTAGTTGGTGTACTAGTTGGTGTACTAGTTAGTGTACTAGTTAGTGCTAGTTAGTGTACTAGTTAGTCTACTAGTTAGTGTACTAGTTAGTGTGTTAGTTAGTGTACTAGTTGGTGCTAGTTAGTGCTAGTTACCGGCTAGCGCCCTCCCGTGTGAACCCCATGCCGTAGATGGCCACAACCACGGCTCCCCCTAGGCCCAGGTTGTGCTGGAGGCCGTGGACGGAGCTAGTTAGTGTACTAGTTAGTGTACTAGTTGGTGTACTAGTTGGTGTACTAGTTGGTGTACTAGTTGGTGTACTAGTTGGTGTACTAGTTGGTGTACTAGTTAGTGTACTAGTTAGTGCTAGTTAGTGTACTAGTTAGTCTACTAGTTAGTGTACTAGTTAGTGTGTTAGTTAGTGTACTAGTTGGTGCTAGTTAGTGTACTAGTTAGTGCTAGTTACCGGCTAGCGCCCTCCCGCATGAACCCCATGCCGTAGATGGCCACAACCACGGCTCCCCCTAGGCCCAGGTTGTGCTGGAGGCCGTGGACGGAGCTAGTTAGTGTACTAGTTAGTGTACTAGTTGGTGTACTAGTTGGTGTACTAGTTGGTGTACTAGTTGGTGTACTAGTTGGTGTACTAGTTGGTGTACTAGTTGGTGTACTAGTTAGTGTACTAGTTAGTGCTAGTTAGTGTACTAGTTAGTCTACTAGTTAGTGTACTAGTTAGTGTGTTAGTTAGTGTACTAGTTGGTGCTAGTTAGTGTACTAGTTAGTGCTAGTTACCGGCTAGCGCCCTCCCGCGTGAACCCCATGCCGTAGATGGCCACAACCACGGCTCCCCCTAGGCCCAGGTTGTGCTGGAGGCCGTGGACGGAGCTAGTTAGTGTACTAGTTAGTGTACTAGTTAGTGTACTAGTTGGTGTACTAGTTAGTGTACTAGTTGGTGTACTGGTGTACTAGTTAGTGTACTAGTTAGTGTACTAGTTAGTCTACTAGTTAGTGTACTAGTTAGTGTGTTAGTTAGTGTACTAGTTGGTGCTAGTTAGTGCTAGTTACCGGCTAGCGCCCTCCCGCGTGAACCCCATGCCGTAGATGGCCACAACCACGGCTCCCCCTAGGCCCAGGTTGTGCTGGAGGCCGTGGACGGAGCCGG